AAAAAAAAAGAAAGAAAAGAAAAGAAAAGAAAAGGGAGCAATTAGGGCAACAGCACGGTTACACTTTGGTGTGCTGATACGCCAAAGTTTCTAGAGTACGACATTTGGTCTGTCAGAGGATAATCTTTATCAATGCTAACGAATATTAGTGTTTCCCAGCTTATCACGAACTTCTTCTACATCAGAGTCATTTTCACTATGCTCTTCTTCTTCTTCTTCTGATTCATATTCCTCACTGTCTTCTTCTTCAGAAGAGTCATCAAATGCGGTAAAGGCGGTGTCACGGTTATTATTCCTGACTAATAAATCATCATTGTCGCTATCATCTAGCTCTTCCGTTTTTGAAGCTTCCTTCGATCGTTCATCTGCCTCTAATTGTGCAAGATATTCATTTTGTACAGCCACAACTTCTGTAGAGTCTTTACACTTGGCATACCGTGAAAGTAAACCACTAAGATAGAAGGAAAAAAAACCTGTTAGTTAGTCATTCCCCCAAAGAAAAAGTCACTTACCCGTTTACTTTTTTAAATGCATGGCCCCATTTAAACTTGGAGAGCAATGCTTCTCCGTGTTCGGGGAATCCAGTGATGTAGAATATTGCTGCCAGAGCCTCTGCACAATTCAGTTTCCAAGGTTTACCATAATTAACAGGATTAGTAGCTACTAGATACGGTAAAAGGCGATCTGTAGGTCCTCTAATTTTTGTAAATGGCACCTCATCAATCCTTGCCCAAGAGCAATCGACAACGCCCGCTCCATACATTTCCACGATTTTTCTATCAGCTGGTGATACTGCCTTCTCACCAACAGGACTATTTGTTGAAAAATGAGTTTGAACAAGAAGTATTGTAAAGAGCCCTGTTACCTAGCAACAATGCCTCGGAAACGCTGTCCTAACTTTAGCGTTGTCAACATACCGCATCTGGCAAGCTTGACACCAGAGCAACGTTTAGGATCGCAATGCTTAAAATCCTATAGACAGATAGCTTAGTACTTGGAAGACCAAAGGAACAGGATGAAACTTACCCACATGGCGACTGGCATAGGAATACTCGATTTATTATCTTCTTCTACTATGGACAATACAATTTAACTTGAGCACTATAAATCTATGTTCTATTTTTCTTACACTGTCCATGTTCTTCCTCTCCAGGAGCAAAATAGCTTGCCTTTGCATAGCGATCAAACTTTGATCCTTTACCAGAGCTTTATATGACAGGATAAGTATTTGCTATGATCAACAGTACTAATGTCTAACCTTGTATGACGCTTTCCAGTCGCTTTTGAACTACCTCCTTTGGCTCCTTTGCTGCTTCCATGTACATAGTCTTCTGAATTCTTCTTGCCCATTTGTTAAAGACAAAGCAAAAACAAAAAAATCTTTCAAAAGATGACTGAGAGTTAAATTTGACATTTAGAAATATGAAGTCGCACACCCACATTAGCTCTGAAGGCGTATCAAAAATAAAATGGCTATTTGTGATAGCGATGAAAAGAACAGCTTAAAACGTATTTTGTATAGCTTATATCAATGATTTGTGATTTGTAGTAAAAGTAAGAGAGGAAAGGGAGGTAAAATTGCTTGAATAGCAAGCAGACCAAGAACAAAGCGACGTCATTGGTGAATATCGTGTATTCAATCACAACTTTTCTCTCCCGCACATCTTTTCTTTACAAAACAAATCTTTTTTTATCTGTTTGTATTGTTAAATAGAATCATGTCCAAAGATACATTATCACTTCTTCGTGAATCAACCATTCATAATAAACCAGTTATATTATTGGATGCTTTTGGAAACGCAGTCTCCAACATTATAGATGCAAAGAGTATAAAATTTAGTAACGACTCAGTATTCCCTCGCGATACACCCACCAACTTTAAAAAGATTGCCACATCTGCAGATAGCAGTACATATACTCTGGACACCTTGATCTTTCTTGTCCAAACAGCGCAATTGGATAATTCTGCTTACTTTAAAGAATGTCAAGCACGACAAATTGAAAATGTAGCCATTGTTGATAGAAGAAAGATATTGGATTTCCTTACCGGAAAGGTCAGCCAACTTCCTAACATAACACGGCCAAGCTCCCCAGGTATAACAATCAAGAAAGAAAAGATGATAAAGTTATTAACAGATTGAATTTAGAAAAAAGAGCCCGCGACGAAGGCTCCACGACAGAAACAAGCACGAAGAAAGCAAAGACAGCACCACTCAAATCAGAAGATTCAATTAAAGCCGTGAAACAAGTCATTAGTCGCGAACGTGAAATAGTGACTAGGTCATCTATTCTGAAAGGAACCAAAAACTTTACACATGCCATCAATTTAGCAAAGCAATTAGTCCTTGGAAAAGAAGTGCCAGTCAATGGACGTCCCAACGCGACATCAAAGCCAGGAGGTAATTGTCAAAGAAGTAGAGCGATACAAAGGTGCTTATTCTCTCTGTTTTGTTCCCAATAGCCTCACAACCTTCCTCAGCCAACCCAAGTAAAAATGGTACAAAACTGACAACAGGAGCTACAACAGCAACTAAAAATCAGAAATTGTCAAGCAAAGACAAGATTCCTCTTATTATTGTACCAGCTGCGCCTACAGCAAAATTCACGCTTTACAATATTAAACAGTTCCTGGAAGATCAAACGTAAGAAGGATTTATATAAAGAAAAGCCGATCTGACGAACTTTTATAGATATGTCGACCCCCAAGAGTTAAGAAATGAAGGATTAAAGAAACCAGATCGTGTTATCGTTGAACGCAAAAAGCCAAACGGACAGTCTGTGCCATACCACGTAGTCGATTCAGTAGCACATTTTAAGCAAAATGATTGGTATATATGAAAAAAGCTATACATTTAGCTTATAACTCATTGTGTTTTACATCAAGGGATCGTGTATGTTGTGTGTTTGTCACAGGAAAAGTCTGGCAATTCAAAGGATGGAAATGGGAAAAACCTGTGGATTTGTTTAGTAATGGTAAGTATAAAGATAACACAATGTGTCAATATTAACCCTCTTCTCTACATATCCAGTCAAGGGCTTTTATCCCAAGTGGACATCTGAAACTATTCAATCACCAATATCAGAATGGGCAGTGTCTGAAATCAATGTAATGTTTCTTTTTTTGTATTATTAGACTAGTACTAAATATATAATATAGATACATAGAGAACGAAGATACATGGACAGAGCTGCCGTATCACAATTCTGGGATGCATTGGACAGCTACAATGCAACACACAAATCATACCTCAATTTTTAAATAAACATTAATTGCTCTCTTTTCTTTTTCTTTCTCTTTAACAAAGAGACTTAATGAACTTTTATAAAATGCCTCACAAAGAATATTAAAACTAATCTAGATTCTCTCAGCCGTTCGGTATAAGCCCGAACCCTTTCAACAGAACGATATCCAATTGGAAATTTAGCTGCGACGTTAGTTCATTTGACTCCGTTAATGCTTTTGTGAAACAAGTTCAATGCTGTGATGTTTTTTTCACTCGCCAGCTTTGACCCTTTAGGCCCCAAACACCCTCTGCAGTCCTACCTTTAGCAACATTAGTAGAGGATCCAGTAAAGAAACGACTAATTAAATCCACAACAACCATATAGTCTGCGCCATCAAATCTATCTGTGTCTCCGGTTTGTTTTACAGCGGCTACATACCATTCTGTTGAAGCAATATTCTGAAAGATACAACGAATCTGTAACGATAATGCGGAAATAAGAATATAAGCGCTTGCTGTTAGCCATTTGTTACAGGTACTTCATTTACACGTCAAAAGCGAACAGATATTGGGAAAGCCTGAGACCACGCAGGACTACAGAAGCATTGATATAAAGCCACAAGTTAAATAGATGAGGACACATAGCATAACTCAAAGAAGAATGCCAAAAAAACTGTGCTGAAAAAACTCTTTTCTTTTGTCTTGAGCCAGCCATATACATTTGAGAGTACGCCAAACGAATATGAAGGTAGTCATATTAAAGAACAAAAAGTCAGAGTGTGGAAGTAACAAAATGAAGTTTTTATTTAAGTAAGCAATAACTTGATTTCCAAAAAGAGAGAGTGCTTTGAATAAGTAGAGGCTTTTTCTTTTAATAGCCAGGTTTAGAGAGCAAATACAGATTTTCTTCTTTTTTTTTTTCATAAGTCCAGATAGCCACATTCTCACTACCTTTCAAACCCAAGATGACTAAAGCCATAGACTGCATGCTGGAAGACTACAAGGTGTAAACCCTTCATGAATAAAAAGCACTCAAGACTCAAATTTCAAAAATCAAAAGTCAACCTCAAAACCATACCACGGTAAATTCAACGAAAGAGGTGCTTCAACGTACAAAGAGTGCACTTCTAAGTACCTAGGACGAAGCGTTTCGAAAGGAATGAAGACCGTGGAGACTTCGAAATATTGAACCTTCGGAGCATCGCAACCATCAAGCTCAGCAGTAAGGGAGGATTTACTGGTCATTCATCAGCTGTGGAGGCAGAGCCATAACAGTAGGAGCATCTCGGAGTGATCCAGGGTAGAAGCAGCGACCTGTCTAGCTAGTTTTTGTTTTTGTTTTATACTTTTCCTTTTCTTGTATCAGAGCTTGATAGAGTGTGGCAGATAGAGGCAAAGTAGGTTGATTATGTTTCTTGTGGCTTCAGGACTTGAATATGTAGTTACTTCAAAGTAGTATTAATCAGCAGCAGATATTGACAGACATGAGCAAAATTCTTTAGAAACTTTCTGACGCTGATAGGCATGGGACAAGCATTCACTAGCATTTTCATGTACTGATGATCATTTGTAGGCATTGATAAGCATGAGTAGGCGTTCATTGGTCTATTCAGAGATTTGATAAACATCTGTAGATATTTGAGTATTTTGTTTGATTATTTGAGTGTTTGAGTATTTGAGTGTACTGATAAGCAGTAGCAAGCATTTTTTGAGCATGCGTAGACGTTTTGAGTATTAGCGAGCATGAGATATTTCTTTAAGGCTTCACCCCGTAAGAGACCATTATGATAGAGTAAAATGCATCAAGAACCATGAAATAGAGCCAGCAAAAGTGAATTTTCTAAACGATGACATTTGTTATATGTACTTTGAGGTTACCCCAAAATGATATTGCATCTTTTTCAAGATAGAAAATAATAAAACCGTAGGAGAATTTTTAGAAGAGATAAAGAATGAAAAAATGAAAAAAAAAGGAAAAGGATGATGGTCTCTTTTATAGTTTTTGTTTACGTGGGTCATGACTCATTCCTCCTTTCTCCAATAATGAATGAATAAATAAATAGTCCATTCCCTATCTCTTCCATATTAGAACATATCTGAGCATCCGAATGCCTCCCTCCACCTTTTTTTGTATTTTTTTTTTCACAGCCCCCTTTTTTTTGTAAGGCCACTTGTTTACATAAAGCTGGCCTCACGCATATAATTTTTTTTATTATGATTGCCTCACTTTTCTCATTCCCAATATGTGTTTTTCTATTTTCCTGGTCGTTTTCTTTAAGAATTTAATAAAAAAAAGCAAAGTGAGAATTAAGTGTACAAGGGAAAAGGTTGAGAGGAGGATGGCATCCTTTAAAAATGCAGCTGATAGTAAACAAAAAAAATATGGCTTTTCTGGAAGAGCACTAGGTCATTGATTCTGTGGAGCACATGCAATTGATTTCATTACTGTTGTTATTTACCAATCAAAAGAAGTCAACCATGATTAATCCATTTGGTTAGCCACTCTGGCTTGTTTCATAAAAGTAATCACGAATTATTATTTTTCGCTAAAAAGAACCAAAATCAAATCACCTTAGCCTTTATGTATCAAAACCTGTTTATCAAGCATGAAACAAAGGTGGTTGAATTGCTGTCTTAGGAAAACATAAGAGTGTATAATGTTTTATTTTTAATTTTAATAAACATCAAAAAAAAAAATATAAAAAAGGTAAAACGTTTATCCTCTATTCCCTGTTGTTATATCCCTATCTTTTTCCCTTCTGCTTGTGAAATACAGACCAACATTAGCGATGGTTGTGATCGTAATAGATTTGATGACTATACGTTCATTTTTATAGTAAAGCAATGGATCTTCTAAGTCTGCATAAACTATTTCAAATGGCGCTCGAAACAGAATGGGTTACTAAGGTACGCGACATACTTCACTTAATGGCTTTATTTGCATGGATACTCACATATTATGAATGAAAGGTATTATCAAATATGTGATTTATTGGACGATGAGAAAAGGGCTTTTTATAACCATGAAAGAGAATATGGATACACAAATGCATGAACGTCAAAAGGATAAAAATCAGCCTTATATGGAGATAAAACAGCAAAAAAAATAATTCAATAAGCCTTAGAGTAGAACCAATATGGTGGCATAGCAGTTCATCACTGTAGTAACGAATGCTGTCATCTAGTTGATTAAGTGCAGCCTTTATTCTCTTTAGTATACAGCACAAAAAAGAAGGGGTATGAGTAATTTAATCCCAATTAGAAAAGTCATAAAGATTAACCATCCTAAATGCTCGCTGAGATACATTTTAATCAAATTCGATTTCCATTCCTTTGGTGGGCATTAGACTTTATTTTACAAGTATCAAGATTCATCCTTCACTCGAGCTTTTAATTATTCCATGTCTGCAAATGTAATGATAGATATCCTCATTGTTGCCTGTTACTCGTAATAAAAGAAAAATGACTAGCTTTTTTTATTCCTGTCACTATGGGTATTCTACTTGTAAGCAGAACATAAACCAATATTTGTATTAGATAAAAAGGTCATGCTCTTAAATACAGTAACTACTTTAATTCTTTCAATTGAATTAATTGCAACAGAACAGTTGCTGTTTACTAAGGTACATCACTATGACAAAGGGAGAAGAAGAAGAAACTTACGAAACAGTCCATATGACTTTATCATTTCGATATGTTAGCTGTAGAATAAATTATTACACAGTTATTTAATCTGATCTTTTTTTCCCTCTCTCTGGGGTTGTTCAACCTAGAGAGCATTTTTATATATTATTGATATTCACTTTTACAATAAAGTTTCCTTGCTTAATATTACTTTTATATGATTAAATTAATGTCTGTTCATTTCAGTAAAGGAAACGCACTCTAATCGAATGCCCATTGGCACTTGCTTTGTTTATAGTTGAAGATCTTCTTTTGACTTAGCCTAAGAAATAAACAAGTGAAGTTGATTGAATTCGATTGCGAGAATATTCTATAGATACCCATGATCATTCGACTAGGAATTAATGTATTTGCTGGGGCCTTGGCTAGCTCGCAGGAGGTAAACCCTCGTCATACACATGTAGTTATCATCACCTTATATGCACGAATACAATGCAACGCCTTCGCATGTACAACTGCTTTTATCTTCCTTTTTCTGTTGATAACACACTTTTCTTTTGCTTGAACAAGCTTTTTCGCAGGTTCTCCAAAGCCTCCGACGACAGTTATCAAATGAAAACAATAGCGGATAACCATTTTATATCTCGAGTACCTTAACCATCCATTACATATCAATCCGCCTCTTCAAGGCCCTTTTGTTATCTGATCCTCATTATAAGGTTTTTTTTCTTCAGTTTCTCGTCACTCTTTGTATTGGCCCGGGTGATTTTTTGATCTGCGAACCCATAGGCTTCTTAAATTTGTTTTTTGTTTAAACTACTATTTTCTTTCTTCAAAAGAATGTCAATAACCAAATTACCTCAACTGATACCCCCATTCCGTTTTGCTATGGTAGAAGAAAACCTCTTCCGTGGGGGTTATCCCAAACCACGAAATAAACGATTCTTGAAAAGGTAAAGAAAAAGATAGGGTAATATAATAAACAACTTATACAACTCTCGAATAAAACAGATTACAACTAAAGGCAATACTTTCACTTATTCCTGATAAGCTAATGCCAGAGATGCAGCAGTTTTGTGAAGAGAATAATATTCAATTAATACATTTAAATGTGGATAAAATGAAAGAAGACAACATTCCTCTAACATATAATAAAACTCTTATGGCTTTACAAGTAAGACATACAAAGTGAAAAGAATAGAGATTAGCAAACTAAACACGACAAACGTATAGTTTATTATAGATCCAATCAATCATCCACTCTATGTTCATTGTTTAGACGGTGCAAACGTTACTGGTCTAGTCATTGCCTGTTTACGAAAGCTACAAATGTGGAGCAACTCAAGTGTGATGAATGAATATGCACGACATTTGCATACTAATGTAATATCAAGTGAAGAATTCGAATTTGTTGAAAACTTTAAAAACTTCGAAGTAACCATACCAATCACACTTCCTCAATGGCTCTGGGGCGGACAAGTGAAATTCAGAAAGCATACCAGTCTACGGCTCAAATTTCTGAACTCGGAAATGATGACAGAGGAGGAACGAGAGCTGAAGAACTTGAAGGAGAAGAAAGAAAAGGAAAAGGAGGACTATTATAAAAAGAGAAAGAATGGTAAGTTATCAATCCACAGGAAAGGCTGCAGTGAACTAAAGATATACATAGATTTACTCGATAACCTATTTGAACCTACCTCGCCAGTAGTAAGCAGACATAGGCCAGGCACAAACAATGCCGTCGTAGGAGGCAATAATAATAATACTACCAACAGTCTATCGATAGCATCTAATAATACAAACACCACACCGCCTTTACCAAAACCTACGGCGACCATGATAGATGATCCACAAGTCAATCCACCACAGTCAAGGAGTAAAAAAGAAATGGAGAGCACAAAGGACTCTTACTTGGTTGATGTGGATGTAGATGTCGATGGTGTCATGATGGACGGCCTTGATCAGGTGGAATACTTGAAGCGTAATGTTGCAAACTCATCTAGTGCTCGGTTCTATATGAACCTTGATGACTATAACATGCTCTTAACCGATGAAGAGCTAGCGGAGATTTATGAAGCGGAAAAAGGAACAAGATTTACGACAGAGACTATTAGTCGAACACTAGAAGCATTAGCATTAGAAGGACTCACTGATTTGTAAATGAACATTATGTGTAAATATATATTTGATTGGTACAGTGTATGGTTGTATATGTACAAGATGTAAAAAAAAAAAGAAAACAAAGCAATGTTACAAGCTAACATTATAATGCATGATCATGCCTTCACTCTCTCTGTCTAAATAACCAAACTTCCATTGACCAGATTCTTTAAATTGTAATGTAACTGTATAAAATGATGCAGGATAAAGGCGTACTTGATGCGTTCGTTTGCCATTCAAAGTTACCCTAGCATTTTCCCACTTCACATATTGAGTATCCCAAAAAGTACCCCAGCCGATAAGGTGCCAAACAACCTTTTTCTTTTTGAATACGAGATCTATGGGAGAAGAATTGACGAGGCCATTGATAACATGAAATCCATTGTTCGTACTATGCATCCCTGTATCATCCTTTAACTTTGCTTTATCATAAAGAGTAGAGACTGATTTATCAAAATATGCTGACTGACGCTCATCTGATACTGAACAATACATGAGTATATGCTTATATCAAAAGATGATAGAAACTTACTGAATAAACAAGTAACAACTTCCTTATCAGATAAGGTGTCTGGTCTATACACTACTATTGCACCGTACAAACCAGCATAGATATCACCTTCTGATATATGAGAGTGATAACCCCAAACAACAGAGTTCTCATCTGTTGGCCCAGGACCAGCTCTGGGAGGCACTGTCCAGGTATATGTAAATTTCTGATTTGGCTCTATAGCGGCCTTTTCGTATCCATCTTTAAAAATGGCACCTTCGTTTTCAAATTCATAAAATACGCCCTGTGCGTAATGAGTGACTTGTAATAGTAATAAACTATTTTGGACCTACATGAGGATGCATAGTCACAGGTCGAGTGGCCTTATTCCAAAAATGGACTACAATGGTATCTCCAACTTCAGCTCTCAAGACGGGGCCCATATTTCCTTGCCATTCAGGCTTTTTCTTCTTTTTGGTAAAGGTACTGTCTGTATATTCGTAGTAAAGTGCCTTGTAATACTTTGTACCAAGACCATTTTTGACTTCAAATAAGGATAAGCTCTCTCTTTCTGATAAGACAAGTATTCATTTTACCTGGAACCTTGTTCTTTAAACTATGAATAGCATAGTCCCATATTTCCTCCTCTGCAGTCATATAGAAAGTGCGTACTTTGCCAGAAGGTTTTTCATACACTTCCTTTTTCAAAATGTCAAAATAGTCTACTGCATAGACAGTATTTATAATAATACATAAAAGAAGAAACAGTTTCATTATTCAACTGTAAAGAAAGATAAAGAAGTATCTAAAAATATTCTCTCTCTCTCTCTTTTTCTCTTTTCTTGACACTATTATCACCCGATATTTTTTTTAAAACTTTTAAAAGAAAAAAGAAGGGCTCAAGGTGGGCTTCAAAAAAAAAAGGTGCCTTAATTTTAAATAACCGCCCCTTTTTTACCTTTTTTGGACAAAAAAAATATTAGTTTAGACAAATGTTAAAATGGCTAAAACTATATTTTTTACCTGTAAACATCTTTAAGCTCGCCGAGGGAGCAACCACGTTCAATGTGGTGCTTTGCCTACTAAAGATAGCGGATCGATTCTTCCCGTTCCAAATTTTTTCAGCAATAAAAAACATATTTTTGCAGTTGTTGCAAACTAATATCGAATAGATACGTAGATACATGTCCCAAAAAAAAAAGTGAATCGTCTAATTTTCAGATCATCTCAAATTGGATTTCCATTTTATTATTCCTTAATGATGATCTCTGTAGGCTGTAGATAAGACGACTCTATTATTTCACCCTTATTTCTTAATACGACTCGTAATCCATCGTAAGCGGGGGACACTTTCATTCCTTCTTTAGCTTCTAACTCTTTCAACTTCTTTTCCAAGTCATCATGGTCTATTCTATGTGTAAATCCAACATAGTATGATTTGGATGCTCGGACTTGTCTAGTTGCTTCAATAGATTGTTCTAATGAAAAGTGAGATGGATGAGGATCGGTTACTGTAGACATCATTAGTTAAAGTATATAGACTTACACTTATTACACTTACATCTTAGACAGTCTACAATGAATACTCTTGTTTTATCCTGAATCAATTCCATCGTATGCGGAGGGATATAGTTTGTATCTGATATGTAGCTTACACCATCAAACTTGAAGCCATAACAGTAATAAGGCTCCCTTGTCGTCAGATAGATACCATGATGTACTAAAAACAACCCTCTAGTTTTACACTGTAATAACACTCTTTAACCGCATACCTTCAAGAGGCGTGAATTCTAGTCCCTCGATAATGAATGGCTTGTTTGCATCAAGCACATGATATTTAAAATCTGCTACTTGTCCACCTCCTGTGGCTAGTGAAGAGTCTACTAGATAAGGAAATGTTCTTGCAACTAATTCCATTGCTTCAGATGATAGATATACATTGATACGAGATTGGATTGAACTACCCAGGGTCCATCCTCTCAAATCATCCAGTCCATAACATGCATCAGCATGACCATGAGTCAAGATGACACCGTCCAGCTCACGTATGCCATAATGAGGAAGTATGGTGATTGCACTTGCTATATAAAACAAAATCAGGGCCATCTGCTATTATCATAATCGTTATCATCATTACTGTAAAATGTCTTTCCACAGTCTATCAGTACATTTCTTATACAAAAAAGTGAATATACATATAATGCATGACCATTACTATCATAATCTACCTCAATCGTGATTCAGGTGGATCATCATGCTTTCGAAATCTAACAATCAAGCTAGTATTTTTCCTATTATTTTTATGACCCTCAGGTGTCATTGCAGATAAACAAACCGAGCAAGACTTTGCAGGGTCTGTAAGACAAGCAACGGTCGGTACTGAGCTAGAAGTGCCTGTTCCCAAAAATATAATATCTTCTACTGTAGCCATTATTAATCAAAAGAAGAAAAGAAAGGGATACCTTTATTTTATGACAAAAAAAAGGACGCGGTATTTCAACTCAGTTGATAATGATGTAACTATGCCACAACGTCTACTGCAAAAGACGTGTTGCCTCTGTCGGCTCAGGTGCTCCGTCCAAGTCACTGATGTTCAATCGCTTATTTCTAAAGTGCCAAGCAATGCACATAGTAAGCAATACACCTTGCAGGATGCAGGTAGCTAAATAGGGTATCCATGCTGTCCAGTTGGTTCCTGGACGGACGATCAGTGCATACATAAACAGTACAGTTCCAGGTGTCTGTAGCATCATCATTGGAATACTCAAAGCACCTACAACCTAGTCTGTATTACAACCTAGTGTCTGCATATTATTATTATCTTTTACTTTGCTATTCCATGTTTTCCATATCTGCGGGATGTATTGAAAGGAAGCAAACAGCATGCTTAAAACACCCAAGAATCCAGCCCAGTAGTTGGTTAACCAATGTTCAGGTCCGCCTACAATAATCAAAAGCAATACAGAAATAAAGAACGAAATGGCGAGGTGTCCTATGCAAAGCGTTGCCACTAAAAGTGACATCTTCCATTCTGCAGAAATGGGTGGCTGAATTTTGTTGGGAAACTCTAAATGAAGACTTGTGGGTGCATGAGGTTCTCTCTTTTTGTTTTCTGGAAAGTAAATCAAGTATAGAAGAAAGCTAATAGAGGAAAGATTAAATAAAGTTATTCCTTCAGAAGAATTAATTTACACAAGACAAAACATGGACCACTGAATTCCAATCTGCACAATTCCCATAAGTCCTTCTATACATGCTCCTGTGGACTAGATATAGAAAACATATAAATATATCAGCCTGGAATGATAAACTAGAGAGCTTACAAGAGACTTGCAGCACACGATAGCATCCCACTGAAGGACAGTGATGTTCAAAAGGCTTGAAGAGGAGGATATGACACCCAACAGGAGAAACCACGCGCTAAAGCCTTCGCTTGTTTTGTTTGCAATAATACGATAATGTTGAGGTAAATAAGACACAACTATACCAAAGCACAAGAATATTGTAATCATCAAAGTTGTCTTATCGTCAAGTGGCACACATTCTCTTGATCCTTTCACCATCTCTGTTGTCTGAAAAACAGGCTGCATAATAAAGCAAAAAGAAAAAGCCCGTTAAAATTTGTGTGAATCTTTTTCGAGGATAAACATTTTTCAGAAATTATTGGCACACAACTTAAGCTCAATAGCTCTAATGATCTTAGCTATCGATCTTTTCTTTATTGTTTAAAAGACAGTATGCAAGAATAACATGTAACTGATTTACTAATCATTTCTTCATTCATTCTTTTGCTTCTTATGGGCTCTCTTTTATTATTTGTTACAGTCAAACCTATGGAATTTGGCGTTTTCTCAAAAATAAATGGCGAAGCCAGTGGTACGCTCTCTCTCGTACAGCGCTTTGGAAAACGGTGCTGTCTACTACGGATGAACCTGATACTCGCTCACTCAAGGCTGCCAAACGGCACTTTTTGCAACAGAATCTAGAGATCCGCCAACGATGCCGAAACTTCAAACTGCTTTCTAGCTGCCGTTAATCAATCACTCTGGATCCTATACTCTGGTTGCCCATGTCTAAGTCAGAGCGCAGTCGGTGTATACGCTGGAAATTAGGCTGGCTTCCTGGTGGCAAATCTCGACCATGTCCTAAGCATCCAACGCAACAGCTATCTAAAAATCACGCTATTAGTTGCCTTGATATGCATCGACATCTGTTCATGCCTGAAACAATACGAGATCCATTGCCATTCCTTCTGAATATGCTTCCTTTACGCCCTTCGGTTCCCCCAAACCTAGCCCTCACCTGGTCTCAGCAATGGCCGATTTTATGCTCCCTACAACATGAATTAGATCAGCTATACTATAATAAACTGATCCCTACTAAGCATTCCCATGGTCAAAAGCTTCTTGTATGGTTAAAGCAATCCATTTAACTTTTCATCGATAACCCTATTCATTAATTTCCGTTTGCATTTTTTACCCTTGTACCCATTAGGGATTTTTTCGCTACCATTCACTTCCAAACGGATTGAACGGGTCCGGGTGGATGTTTATTTTATTATTTTATTTTTGCGCTCATTTGAACCATCAATAAAATATCATCTTTAAACAAAATATATGTCTTGAGTTGAAATTGTTTTTGTCACCCATATTTGAAAATGAGGCATATATTCAAAGTCTGCTAAATGAGAATCTCAGCTTTATACTAAATATATTATCAATACTTGTCTAGACAGTTAGTGGACTTTTCTATTTCTAAAATTCATGAAATAGAAAGATACTGATTTATATTTTACAAAAAAGTTGTATCTTTATTGACAAAATTGAGTTTCATGTCGATTTGAGGAATGATTCAGTCAGATCCAATTTTGGAACACCCGCCATAGCAAAAAGAGTCGAAGCCCCATTGTATACAACCATTGGTGCTATACATATATCTAGTATCATTCATGCTGCAACAAAGAAGTCATTACCAAAAAAAGAGAAGCTTCAAATAAAGAGAGGATGGATACAAAAAAGAAAAAAAAAAAAAAATCCAACAAGCGCACTACATATGAGTCTATTATAAAGTAATCAGTAATAGAGCACATTAGCATAAATGAGAATAGTGCTCAAGATAATCCCATACCAATATCAAGAGGTACAACAACTACGTATTTTATCAAATCCATTCATTTTCTGCCTCACATCACGGATCTTAATGGAAACTCAAAGTTATAGAGTGGTGTACCTGACGCCATATTCAACATTCGCCTGAATTAAATCCAATTGGACAGCTTTGCTTAGTTATAAAAGGAAAATTGAAGAGTCGCAAGTTGTTGATTGAAGAAATGTGTCTGGAAGAATGGTTGAGGCATGTACTAGCATACCTATTAAACCACTGTACAACAGCTAGAAAAAAAGTAGTGAGTACATATTCATATTTAAAAAAATTCATCTTATCTTGTAGATAAAGGCAAATCTATTTAAACTAGTAGCCATAGAAATACGTTAGTGAGCTATTCTCCTCCAGTCTTTTGCAGTAGAAGGGTTGAACCGATCAAAAGACCTTGTCCTCCTCTATTCTGAATGGATCAAGTAAATAATCCGAACAAAGAAGTAAGGAGGCATGAATCAACACGGGGAGCCAGCCTTTGTTGAGAAGTCGTGGCAAGTACACACGTATTGTTGTTTGCCGTATATATTTGAATTAACAGTCTAATTACAAATGTCCGTGAAAGTAAACAAGATCTTGGGCTTAGGGGACTTGATTGATCCTATGTTTGAAATTATTAGCAATGACAAGATGGATGTATCAAGCTGATTGTTTCTATACTTGAGCCACTACCTTCTGAATAATTTAACTTCTACTTGAAATCCTTATTAACTTCACTGTATCTGAAATAAAGTATAATTCTTAATCTGAAATAGTTGGTTGCAGCAGGAAAAATTGCTTTATTTTTTTTCAAGTGGACGAAACATTAGTAACCCCGAGTCCTTATAAAAAAAATCTTGGCTTTCTCTTTCTTCATATATATTATCTTACATTCAAGTGTGCACACCATGTCTATTCCAAGCCCTTCTCTACAGCAACAACAGATAACAGATATGCCACCCTTTGACTTTCATCGATTCCTTGACCAAATGAAAGACCCTAGTGCTGCTCCAATTGCACGTTATACTAAAGGGTAAATATACAGTAGGACCATCACTCCCTTTTTGCTCAACTTTTTATACATTTCAGCTTTATATCAGCCTTTTATAGAAGAGAAACATGGACAGTGAATGAACAAATAAAGTTTATTCAAGACTTTTTAAATGTAACAAAAAAACCTCTTTTGAAAACAAACTGACAGGAACCCAAAACATAGTTTACTTTTACTCGAATGAGAGAATGCGACATATGGAAAGATATTTCAGAAAAAGAATTCGAGAATGCAAAAGAAGGCATGGAGAAATTAGTGATGAATAGATTATATAATGCGTAAAGTGTGTGAAGACGTCCTATAACCAAATAGAGACATTAACAGTTTTCCTATAGCACGTTTGCACCAAGTACAATGGATGATAAAGAAAAGGATAATATTTTACATCACAAGATTAGTATTTTTCAATGGATTAAGGAAAAGCATCTTGATATACCTGAAACAGAAGATAATGAATCTTTTCTGACGTTTGCCGAAGCAGAGCTATTAAAAATGAACAATTATAAGGCACCTAGAGATAAGCTTATCTGTATATTGAATTGCTGCAAAGTCATATTTGGTAAAAACATAGTATATGCGTAAAACCTTCCCTTGTTATAAACATGATTATATAGGTTTAATTAAACACATGAGTAAAGAAGAAGGAGGAGCAGATATCTTCCTTCCCTTATTAATATACGTCGTTATCCGATCAAACCCTCCTCGATTAATATCCAACGTGCAGTAAGCTATCCTTACAAGCTATATCATTATCAAACTAAAAAAAAAAAAAAAAAAAAAAAAAAAAAAAAAAAAAAAAAAAAAAACACTATAGATATATATCCAGATTCAGACATCCAGATCATCTTCAAGCAGAGGCTGGATATTATTTAACAAATCTCGTAAGCTTTGATTCATCTCATCAGATTACATTCATTCAATGTCATTTTTAGATGGGCGCTATTGAGTTTATCGAGACAATGGATGCTAGTTCACTATCGATATCAAAAGAAGAATTTGATGCGTAAATGTTTTCAATTGTAAACTATTCAAGATGACTAATAGTAATATAGAAACATTGAGAAAACAATGAATGAACTGGAGCAGAAACAACCAAAAGAGACCATATCCGACAAACAAAAGATTAGTTATGAGGATGCGCTTCATCCATGGCATGCCAAGAGAATTCAAAAGGAGCAGCCTTCGGTGGATTTTGGATCTGGCATTGCTCAAAAATCGATGAGTTTTGTCGAGAAGCTCTTTTCTGATGATAACGAAGGAGAATCAAGTTCCAAGAGAAGTCGACAGCGTTCACAAGAATCACATGAAGAACCAGCTCCATTAGCTCAGCAGCTACCAGTACCTGCTAATCTACTAAACGAACAGCAACGTATCTTACCAGCCAGACGAGTGCAAGAAGAGGAAGATGCTCGAAAACAATTTGATGAACATTTAAGTACGATTGTATCCATGTTTCCCAACATTGAACCAGGTGTCTGTTTCATGATCCTTCAAGCAACTGAAGGAAAGCTGCCAGAAACAATAGAGAGGTACAAAACTACTGATATTCATCCATTATAAGTTTACTTATAAATATCTCATAGTTTGCTGGACATGTCAAATGAGCAAATTTGAAAATACCGTGTACCATATATCATTGTATAGTTATGTATGTGTCAAGTATATAAGAATATTTTAATAAAAAAGAAAAGCTTCCTATCTTTGATGATAGGTAACAGCAGACTCAGTGTTTGTGTTACAATGACTGGTAAGAAAATTTATGCGAAATGAAACCATGGTAACTGTAAAAAGGCACAACAATAAATGGGACTCTATATAGCATAGTCCATGTTTTCATGATAACCGGTCATTTGCCCGCCTGTTAATGATGCATTTTACGTATTTGGTAACTAGACACGTTGTAGTGAATCAGGATATAAAGCAGACAGTAGCTGGAAAACCACTCTTTACTTAAAACCCACAAACAGACAGAGATACTTGTGTTCAAGGACCCACTTTGATTAAAAAGATGGATGGCTGCTCAACATTCTATAGCATAACCGTGTTGTGCTGTGATCTACTGCGCAAGTTGGGCTTATTACAACTTTGGTGATGGGCTATTTAAACCGCGTCCACGTGCTTACGGTAGCATAAACTGAAATGATAACTATATTAAACGCTTACTTACAAGATATAGCCCAATTGTTATACTATAACCGTCTCTCTCTCTATCTCTCTCTCTCCTCCCTCCTAACCATAAGCGCAATCTCCACATGCCTTCACGTAATCTTATTTATTCCAAATTAAGGAAGCACCATTTAGGCCTGAAAAGATAACTGACTGCTTAAACCTGTGCGGGCACAAACCGCCGATGGTACAACAGGTGCTGGTTTTTATGGAATCTATAAATAAGGTTTACTTTTCTTTCAGTCTTCTCTTTTGCTAAAAATGAGAGAAGGAGAATACGAAAAGTTTGAGGTTCCTGATGTCACAAAGGCACAGATAGACCAACTTCAAGCAAAGCTTAATTCTGTTGTATGGCCAAATGAACTCGAGGAGGACTATGGTTGGAGCTATGGTGCGCCTACTTGGGCTGTTAAGCCACTTGTCGAAGAATGGGCACATTCATTTGATTGGCAAGAGCTCAAGACAACTATCAATCGATGGCATCATTATCGCATGAAAATTGATGACCTCTTGATCCACTTCATACACGAACCTTCCTCCAACCCTGATGCCATCCCGATCGTTCTCTTGCACGGATGGCCCTCTACTTTTTATGAATTTTATAAGCTAATCGAGCCTCTTAGAGATGGAGCAAATAATGGGCAGGTAAAACAGTGATGAATTTAGTGTGATATATGCTTATCTGTCGACAGTCGTTTCATGTCGTAGTTCCAAGTTTACCTGGCTATGGATACTCAGAGGCGCCCAAAGTAAAGGGCTATGGTGTGAAAAAAATGGCATCTATCATCAACCGCCTGATGATTAACTTGGGATATGACAAGTATTGTAAGGAAACTTTAGATTTGCATTAAAAAAGAAAAGAAAAGAACAGAAAGAACAGAAAGAAAAGAAACTTATGGTTAAAACTTTAGTGCATCACGGTGGCGACTGGGGAGGAATTATCGGAAGGCAGATTGCTCTTAAGCATAATAATCACTGTGCGGCCTTCCATACTAATTTACCTATGGCTTTGCCTACGTTACCCACGCCAAGAAACCTCTTGCTCCACCCTTGGAAAGTGCTCAAGTTTCTGTTGAGTATAATATTAGGGTTTAAATTAATGTATGGTAAAGGAAAGGTCAATCTTGGCGGCGCAACATTTGCAAATGCTGAGCGAAATTATGACTGTGGATACCGATCGATTCAAGGCACAAAACCATACACTCTGGCTTATGGTTTATCTGATAGTCCTGTTGGTCTTTTAGGTAATAAACATAAACAAGGATAAATCACACACGCTAATAGATTATGATAGGTTGGATGCTCGAAAAGTACCATGACTGGACGTGTCATCCTGCTGAAAGACGAGATACTGAAGCCTTACCACCAACAATTAGTTCAAAAGAATTTCTTACACAGGTATCCATCTATTGGATAACCAACACAATGTCTTCTTCTATTCGTATTTATTATGAATGTCTTCATCAAAACGAACTGCGTTACTTGGTTCCTCCCCGTATCAAGATTCCTATGGGTGTATCCGCATTTGACCATGACGTTTTCAAGGTAAGAGCTCCTATTTAAACAGTACAAACTCTGATATTCCCTGTATGTAGTTGCCTAGAGATTGGATAGCAACCTCTGGTAATTTACATCAATACACTGAAACTGACTGTGTAAGTTATGTAATATTAATAAAATATGGAGCTAATGTTTCTATATAGGGTGGGCACTTCCCTAGCTTAGAAGAACCCAAGATTTTGTTATCGGACATCCAACGTTTTGGTAGACATCTAAGACAGAGCCACATTTTATAATTAGTAGCAGCTTATTTCAAATAAAATCTGAGCTATCTATAAATGTCAAAATTCTTGGCGATCCATCGTCATGACGATGATCCTTTTCCTGCCCAATGTGCAAATGTGGGTTAGATACGACGTTACACACCACACTTCAAAACAGTAACAAGATGAACTATATGCCTTTTTAATTGCATCATCATCACCAATGACGATCTTTTTTTTATATGTAAAACTATTGCATAAGTCTTAGCCGGGGGGAAAAGGTAGAATTCCATGAAACAGTTGTTTTTCTACATCGGAGAACCAATAAGCGACTGACAGAATAACCCTTTATGGCATTCATTTCAATTTCTATCGGCGACTTTAACCCACACCCCTCCTATTTCCCCTTTTAAAAGAGATTTCCTTTTTTCCTTCCCTTTTTTTTTGTTTATTATTAAATAAATAATCAAAGGATGGCTGTGGAACCTATTTCGAATGATTTGGTACAAGGAATAAAAAGAAAACAAGAAAAAAGGGGAACTAATAGAAGATATAGCACGTTACTGAACTATTAAAACGTATTGGTAAAGAAAAAAACTGGTCAGACAAAGATGTCGAAAATGATCTTTCGATTCTTGAAAAGAACCGCATCGTGACCGTAAGATATTAAATAAGAGAGATGTATACATTTAATTTATCAAATATGCTTAGGTGAATGATTTGAGATCTTTATCACGAGAAAGTTGGTCCGTAAGTGTTTTACCGTGAACAGTGGAAACAAAAAAGAAAGAGACAAGAATCATAAGCTGACCATTCATAGCAAATCGAACTTCTTCCACTTGTTAAGGATTTACTAAGATCGGCTATTGACCCCAACTGGTTGACAAGTGATCGTATGACTTTTTTTTTTGAATGTTTGTTATTTTGCTTATGACGATTCATCATATAGAATATCAAGCCAAGTCTACTGTAACTAACATGGATAGTAACCATGAAGAACAGGAAGAAGAGAAAAAGGATAAAAAGAAAGAAAAGAAGAAGGATAAAAAGAAGAATAAAGACAAGAAGAAACACATTCTTAACCTGGGTGAGCCTGTTGTACCTACTGTATTGAATGAAAGAAAGCCTGTGCTAGAAGATATGGTTCTGTCAGAGGATCCATTAACGATTGAGAATACCATTCGAAATGGTACAACTGCTGAACTTTCGGCAATGCATATTACGGATGATCATAGTAGTGAGAGTGAAGATGAGCCAGCGTCTCCTTCAGAGACCGATGTACCCACGCGTAGAAAGAGTGTTACATTTTCAGATGAACAGCCCGCAGTTGGTGTTGCAGCTAGTGAAGGAGCCGAAAAGAAGAAGGAAAAGAAGGATAAAAAGAAGAAAGATAAAAAGAAAAAGTCTGCTATGGCAAGTACAAATATTACGAGTGGTTACAGCAGTTTTAAAAGTCATCCTTACACCAATCATCCTATAGTGAAATTCAAGAAAATGAAATTAAAGCATACTAAAAGACTTCCTCCTGCTCCTGCCAATGACAATTTTTTACAAGGCTTACACGATAAACTAATGGCAAACCGCATCGAACAAAGTTAACGCTTTTGTTGTTTGTATATAGTTTTTTGTACATATTATTATTTTTTATTTGAGGCTGGAGCTTGAATAAACTATTTCTTTTTCTTTTTCTTTTTGGCTGCTTGTTCTGTTAGATACATTGATAAAAAGTCTCCTTGTCTGTTTGCCTTTTTCTTGGTATTGTTTGTCTTTGAGTCTTCTTCATCATCGTCATCATCAGAGTCTGCTTTTCTCTTTTTATTGTTTGTCTCTTTTGATGTATTCACTCGTCTATTCTGATTCAATATCTTATTTTTTAGCTGAATCTCTTGTTTAGTTGCAGGTCTATGACTTTCGTTATGTCTCATTGCTTCCTTATGTGACAAGTATTTTGCACCAAGGCCAAGCCTAGGATAGATCTTTTAGTCCTCTTTCTCTCTCTCTCTCTGTTTCTTGCGAACCTGTCCGGTCTACCGGTTGAATATTTTGTCAGTGTAAAGTCATCGTCATCGTCTTGTAATTTTTCTCCTGGCTTTGGTGGAGGAAGCCAAGATTGAACAAGAGATCTTGCAGTACTGATGGATGCGTCAATTTGTGTCTTTAACTTTTCATTCTCTTCAGTGTCAACCTTGGTTTGTTGAACCATTTTATTTCTAGAAAGAAAGAAAAAGAAAAGGAAAGAGTGGCTTATTAAAGCAAAGCTGTTTATTTTACTAATATATTTGCATGAAACTTGATATGGTCAGCAATAAATGTAGAAATAAAAAAGTAGCTGTGATCATAGCCATCTTGATAGCGAATATGCCATTCATCATCTCTGTTCAATGCACGAACTATCTTTCTTAACTCATCGACGAGTAATTGATTCTCCAAGAAGCCATCGGCAGTTCCCTAGTAACAAATGAGTGATAGTCAATTATGCATAAATATAAACATACAACATCAACAAGGACATTCATTGATTCATTCAAGTATGTCTTTAATAGTTCAACGGTATCATATTGCTTCCATAGTTCTTTATCAGCACCGAGATAATTAGAAAACGCCTTTTGGCCCCAAGGACAATTGATGGGATTTGCAATAGGTGCAAATGCAGAAGCTGCCTTGAATTTTGAAGGATTCTTTATGTAAATGGTCAATGCACCATGGCCTCCCTATAAAAAGTATTTAATATCAAAAATATCTTCCTATTTTCATATTTACCATCGAATGACCCATAATAGAGGCCTTTGATGCATCCTTTAAAGATAAAAGAGAGTAAGCATATACACACACATATACACAGTTACACACATACCACAGGCAATTGTTGGTCAACAAGAGAAAACAATTCTTTAACAATATAAGAATACATACGATAATGTTTGGACCATTTGGGTTCTGTGGCATCCAAATAAAATCCTGCACCCTTTCCAAAATCCCAGGAATCGCTGTCTCCCTCAATATCAACACCTAACATGCATAGTTTATATATATAAATATATATATGCAATCATTATCTTGTCTATTCAATATCTTACGTGGAGATGTATCTGGAGCGACAAGAGCAATACCATACTTGGCTGCTTCGGCCATAGCACCACTTTTTTGAATAAAGTTGTCTTCGGTACACGTCAAACCAGATAAAAAGTAAATGACAGGTACTTGACGTGTATCACTCTCATTTGGTAAAAACACATTAAACTTCATATCAGACTGTAGTTCTTCTGAATAGTGTTGATATTTGATGACGTGTCCACCAAAGCATTTGTTTCTAGAGATCTCCTTGAGTGACATTTTACGAGAAGAAAAAGAAGAAAAAGAAAAAAAGAAACACCCCAGCCTATGCTTTATAAAGCCGTTGCACAAACGATGTCAGTGTTTCCAAACCCATTTTTCCACATTGGTAATTCATGCTGAGTATACTTTTACATGCCTTGGCTTTCGATTGAGTTAGCAAAATAAATGAGATATTTTGATTTTCATGGCAAAAGAGGATCGTCAGTAAAAAAAGAATACAAATTAGTCCAATCAAAATCAAGTGAAGACACAATACAAAAAATTGAAGTTTGATATAGGGAGCCCGACAAAGTAAGGCTAGTGCAAAAACACTTGATAGTTAACAAGCATACCTGTATAAATCTAAACTTCCATCAAAGGAAGAACCGTGTTTGGTACGGCGATATAATCACAAAATTATTGTCTCTTGAACGGAGCAGGAAGATTCTCACTTGCTACCAAGCGTTCAGAAAGGTTATAAATATTCTTTGAATTAAGATCTCTATTCCACAGTATTCCACAATCTTGGCAGGTTAGGGTACTGTGAAGACCAGAAAGTACATGAGTGAGGGACATTTCGTTGCAATAGTGACATATCTTATGTAACAAGATAGGAAAAGTTAGTAAACAATATCAAAATATATTATGTTTGTCTTAAAATACTGGCCTTCGACGTTTGATATTCATCCACAAGTGCAATGATTGCCTCCCCACTTTTTTGTTTCTTCTTTAGCTCGGTATACAGCACATCTGTAAGGCCAACCTTGTGTCCCTTGAATTTGACATGATTTTTCTTCAACGTCTCGTTTCCAAATGCAATGACGGGTATCATCGTTTTGTCATGGTAAAAAAAACGATCTTCAGACAGGCTTTTTTTATATGCTTAACTCTAGCATAAGTCTATGTATTAGTTTCTTTTCTTCTTCTGTTTGCTTGAATACTTACTTCAAAGACGAATTGTCTTTTTGTATAACAGTCATCTTTTTCTTTGTCATTCCGGCGTCTAAGCTCCTGCTTTTGTATTTCATTCATTCTTTTGCTTTTAGAGCCAACTAAACGCAACATTTGTTAGCTTCTTTGCAAAGATGACTTTAGTGCGCTTTGTATAGATTTACCTTTACGCGATTCAGGACCATACTTTACACATCAACTGTCTTTTTTATTTGCATGCTCTTTTTCTCCACAGTTCTCACAAGCTAAATAACAATAACAAATAACAATAAACAACTGTATATATTACGTGTAGAAGAAAAATAAAACGTGGTGATTCAACCTACCTCTTGCTTCTGCTTCGGCTTTTTTACGATTTTGAATTAGCTTGATAATCGTGTGTATTTTATCTTTGTTCATTTGTTTGTAGCAGGATGTGGATAAGAAAGAAAAAAGAGAACAGTAAAGAGACAACATAAATGAATAATCGTCGTCTAAACTATTTGCAACATTTGGTAAATGGCCTTCATGTATCATCTGGTTCTCCTTTGTTTAATTATGATGCTCAAATATACATATAAGCTGTCTTTATGCTACGTCCAGACGTTGACATGTTACACGGTTTTACTTTACTCATTATTGTTCCTAAAATGAAATAAACAAGGTCTACAGCTTAGAACAGCCATTAAAAAAAGAAAGAGCAATCATTTTAACAGAACGCCATTGTCAACCAATACAGGCTTTGAATCTAAAACTAGGCAGGTGAATAATTAAATTAGAACACGCACTTATATCGCCTATGTATAAGCATTGTTCGAAATATATTTTAGCTATTTGGACCGTTTTTTGAGTATGAATAAAGTCACTTTGGTCTTATATATTACAGACG